TAGATCTCACATGCCCTTGCAGTAAATACGCTATGTTCTGCCTCTAGAACTGGTCCCTCTGCCTCTAAAAAGGAGTGCTTCTGACACCATTATGCATCAGTTCCACCAAAGTAGAAAAGAACAAAAAGACACCACAGACAATCTCTGCAGACAGGAAACAAAGCTTATCAACCTGCCACAGTCTGCCAGTCAGGTAAGCTTCCTGAATTTTCATCACATGGAAGACTATTTTTGTGCATAATTAATTCATCAGACTGCCAAATTTTTGTCAGTCTTCCCATGGTTGTCCATCACTTACCAAATATCGGTGAGATTCATAGCCTAAAGAACCGAGATCTGATACTGTACTTAAAGCTATAATTTCTAAAATAAGGAAGATGCCCTTCCTCAAGTATATTTTGGTCCTATCAAACCATTTCTGGAACGCTATGTTCAATTCTGGGCACCATATTTCATGAAGGATATTGACATGCTGGAACATCTGCAAGATGAGAGTGATCAGGATAGTGAGGAAGCCTAGAGACCATGTCATCTAAAGATTTGTTTAAGTAATTGGAGACGTTTAGCTTAGAGAAGAAAAAACTTCTAAGATAGGACAGCACAACTGCCTTCCAAGTATTTAAAGTGTAAGATGTAGAAGGATTAGACTTGTTCATTTGGTCACAGAGGGCAGGGCAGAACTATGATGGATAAGTAAAAACTGCAGAGGCAGATTTAGGCTTAACTTAAAGAAGAGAAAGGGATTTCTCTAGAGGTAATATATTTCTCCTCAATGGAATTCTTCAAGGAGAAGCTAGATGATACTTATGGAGATGTTACAGAGGAGATTCCTGTATAGGTAGAGATGGGACTAGATGGACTCTTAAGTTTCCTTCCAACTGAGATTCTGTAACAGTAAATTGCATGATTTAAAAGTTGCTGCTCAATTAAAGATTGATTTTGGGGGGCTCAGGCGTAATATCCAGAGTTACTTGTGGTAATTAAATTAACACCAATGCAGTTGTTTCTAAATTGTGATTCCCTAACCTGAGGATCCATGGTGGTTGGAAACAGCTAGGAACTGCTTTATGTCCTGAACAATAGAATTCCCTCTTCCTCAAGGGGTGGAGATTCTAAACTTCAATAAATAAATCCACTAACTTAGTTGTAGAATCTAAAACTATCGTATACAAAACAAATCTGTGAAATCTGATAACTCCTTTTATAGAATGAATTGGGAAACATTTAGTAAGTAACCATGTACAAAACTTTGTACCAGGTGCTAGGGACACAAAGACAGAACTCAAACAATCCCGCCCTAAAAAAGGAGCTTAAATTCTAAGGGAGAGGTTTACATCTTACACATGTAAGTAAACACAAAACAAATAACTACAAGGCAATTTGGGGTACAAGGCACTAACAGGGGCTTCAGGAAAGTCTTCATGCAGGAGGCGGGCATTTCTAAATGTCTTAAACAGTTAAGCCTCCAAAAACGGATATTTTATTCTGAAATACTTGGTCTGATATGTTTGGCAAAAAACTTGAAAGGGGTGGGGGGAAGTAAATCTATTTTGTTCACAAATCTCTTTGCACCCCATTATATAAGGGGATGTTCTATAGCACTATTTAAAAAATAAAACTCTGTCAGGAAAAAGGACATCTTTTTTATGTTGTAAAATATTAGTCTAAAGCTTCCTCTGACAAGAGGCCAAACTACCCAACAAATTTGCAAGTGGACAGAATGTTTGCTAAAAATAAGTGCCAATAATGGTCCTACCATGGATTAAGTAACCAAGAGCAAACTTGATTTGCTTTTATATGAAGTTTCTTTATTACTACGAGAAATTCTGGAGCTCTCCCTGAATAGTAAGGTTTCAAATTCAGGTACTGAGTTACTGAGCTCACCTGCCTAGAACATGCCCAAAATAAGAGATGAAAGACAGAACCAAGTTTATTACTATGAAAGCTTTGGTAATTTTGCCCTTCAGTTCCCCTATTTTACAAAGCAAATAAGCAGTCAAACCTTTAAAGTTTTATACCACAGATAATGAAATGAAAAGAACCTTCAGAACAATCCAACAGGGACTTGTCTAACTTTACAGAAAGACACAAAAATCCAACTGTCTCTAGTCCTTGTTGACACACAAGGGCCTCACTGGTAAAGTGACTGGAGTGCTAAAAGAGGTCTGGGTTTCTTAATGTACCTTATTAGAACTGAGGAAGTTAAATCTCTAGTCCAATCAGAATCAGTTCTCCAAAAGAGAGAACACTTCTCTAAATACTCTTGCTAGGTTAACATTGGCTTAGGAAGTTCATGGTTCCCTATTTTCACTTGGGAAATAAAGAAGCAATTTATTTCCATTTATTCATTTGTTCACCCCAGAAATGGCTGGCTTCTGGAAAATCGTTAGCTTCTGACACAAGTCTCTGCTAACAATAATGTAGTCTGAATCTAACAGGTTCCAACTTTTAAATCCAGTTTCATCTTGTTCTAGGCTAGCATATAATGGAATCACATTTTTATTTCCTGTTGGTTTTGCATCTAATTCTCCATTTGACAAGGAGGTTTTGGTTTTTGGGGTTTTTTTTTCCCCAACACAAAAGCCAATAGTTGAATATAAGGTTTTGTTATAAGCTGAAGCTATCAAACCACCTCTGACCAAGCCTTTCCAAGGAACAGACATACATGTAGTTAAACAATTAGTGCATACAGATTTATTCTTAAAAGTAATTTTACTACTTACTCCTCAGTACACTTATGGAACCAGTAATGAAGTGGGCGAAGAAGGGAGCAAGCTTGTTCAGCTGATTTTACCTTTGTTTACACACTTACAGAACATGAAATTCAAAAGAAAAGCTTTGTCTTTTCATACAACATTCTTGTTAATTGCCCAAAGTATCAAGTCTCCCCAAAATGCTCTTATAAGCCAAACATAAGCAGTAACCATAGATCTACAGATCCATTTTGTGATTATGACAGGAAGATAGGTTTCCCCTCCCAACACTGCTAATTAATATCAATTTGGGGAAAGTGAAGAGAAAATAAAGCTTTTAACTAAATCTCTTCCCTTCTGAAATGACCACTTTGGGAGGAGGGAGAGAAATTTTATCCAGTTTTAGCCACAAAGCTAAAATTCACCAGCAAAATTAGAAATTCAAGGTCAACTCATAATCCTGCACTCAGAACACAAAACTCAAGAAAAGGATCTTTAATGTTTTCTTTTTCCAGTAGATGGAGCCTGGTGGCAAATAGTGTAGTATTCAGTAAAGTAAAAGACAGTTGACCTCAGAACCAAGTCAAGGATTAGTCAAAGATAATTATTCATACTGAGTCTAGTAAACCATATAGTGCCTTTCTGAAGGAGAGAGTGGTACACTCAGTTCAATTTGTTATTCACTCAGCAGCAAGGAACAGAAAGGAGCTGACCTTTTTTAACTACCTCTAGTCCCAAAAAATGTTGGCACATAAGGGAAGAGACAGAAAGGAATGACTAATCTGTTTTAAGTTAATTTGTACAAGTAACGCCAAAGATTTGCAAGTAATAAACCATAATAGTAAAATCTTTGCAAGTAAGCTATTATTGCCACGTTGCCTTAAAGAAATTATGTAATATTTTAAAAAGATAATCAATGTCTCATTTCTTCTAACTCAAAAGGAAAATCTGCATTAACCATCTTTAACACTCAGGATAAATCAGATGGTGAGAAGTTAAAATAACTTAAATATCAAAGCAATTTGTTCATTACAAGTCTGTGGGCTTAATAGTACAAATATTACCTCCATTTTACATATAAGATAAACTGAAGCTCTGAGTCTAAGACACTTGTGCAGAAAGATTAAATACTTTAGGCAAGATTCACACCCAAGTCTCCCGTCCACAAGAACAGTTAGTCACTAAAGCATTTATTAAACTCCTATCGTGTGTAAGGCACAGTGCTGAAGCTACAAAGAAAGCTTAAAAATCCGTGACTGCCTCAGGGAGCTCAGACTGATGGGGAAGGCAACATGCAAACAATTCAGGGCAAACAAGAGATAGACAAGTTTCGATTGCAGAAAATCAAGAGGGAGGGCACTGGCATTAAGGGCTATCAGTAAAGGCTTATAGTAGAAGGTGGGGTTTTAGCTAGAACTTAAAAGACAGGAGGAGGAGATCAGAAAGTTACTCTTATCAATCGTTTTTAGCTATATATGTATACATATATAAATGTACATATACCTATATGTACATATATTCCTTACATAAGGTAAAAAAGCGAGATTTACCTAACTAGTAGGTAGATTATAAACTAATTTTTTCCAGTTAATCCTAAGCATCTGATCAATAGCTAACTAACATTTAAACTCAAGCACTTGTTCTCAAATTGATCGAATGTCTATTAAGCTAGTCTTCTGTTTATTAAAATTAGGTGCTAGATTTCTCCTCACATTTCTTTTCAAGTCTCTAATTCTCAAACGTCCCAACTGTGTTCCCTTGAATGTTGGTGTCCAAAGTTTCCGCCACCTGGAATCCCAGTGCGCACACTTCAGTGACAAGGTACCAGGGGTGCTTCCAAATCCCACGGGGCTGGATCACGAGAATCGCTCCAGTGGTTTGGAGATTAGGAAGAACAACCTGTGCCCTAAGGTCGTGACAGGCACTGGGTGCAGGTGGACAGGGTGCAAATTCGGACCCAAAGAGGGAACCAGAAACTTGCAGTGCCTGCGTCTCTCCCAAACCCCACAGCTGAACGCGGCGTTGACATCCGCGCTCAGTGGAACCCCCTCACGAGGGGGGGAGATTTCGAGCACGTGGTGGTCCACGCCGTCCCAGCTTAGGGGCGCGGAGTCCCTTTCCCCTCCCTTTTTTATCCCCTGAGGTGGGGATTCAAAGAGCCCTGCTAAAGGGAGAGGGGGAAGGACATGAGCCCCGCCCGGGGATGGATTAGACGGTTTGAGCCTTTGCACCCCCACCCCGGGCTCCAACCTCATGAACGTTTCCCCACGTCCAAAGTGGGCCCCCAACCTCCACGCGGGTGCTTACCGGTGCTGAAGTCCCACGAGCCCTAGGGTGATCACATGGGGCACATCCAGTTGCGTGGGCCACTCTCCCGACGCGATGCAGCCAAACACGCCGCACTCCTCGCGGATGCCGCTCTCCTCCAGCTCCATAACACCGCCAAAAAGCACGTGGATGTGGAAGGGGCCGCGGCCCCGCGTGAACCCGCTGCCCCTCCTCCCGCTCGCCCAGCCCGAGGTCTTCGCCTTCGGGCGCTTTCCCTCGCACCCCGGGCTTCCTTCGCTACAGCGGCGGCACGTGGCTCTCGTTAGGACGCGGCGCGTGGCTCACCCGGCCCCTCTCCCGCCCGAGCTCCAGCCGGGTCCCTCGCGCGCCAACTCCACCCGAGCCCGAGGCAGCTACTTCACTAGACAAGCGGGAGAACGATGACACGGGCAGGAGGGAGGAGCCAAGGACAAGGGGGTGGGGCAAGCCTGACTCCGGTCCCTAAGCACCGCGCCGCGGTTTCTAATGGCGCAGCAGAAAGCATAGCTGCTAGTTAACCTTCGCCTAAGGGCTGCTGCGTAGGCCCACGCCCTCGGTTCCTTCCCAAAGAGCGGCGTACAAACCCATACTAGAACTTCCCGGGACCTAAGGGCTCGAGGAGTGGGAGGTGCGCGCGTGCGACTCTAGAGGAGGGGCTGGCAGTCTTCTTTTCCGGAAAAGCGACAAAACGTGATGACGGACGTGAGGGAGGGAGGGGACGCCAGGAGGCCGAGGCTCAGTTCTCGCCCCTGCGCGTGCGCGGCGGGAAGCCGCGGCCTATCCCGCCCCCCTGAATCTCTGCGGGGCGGGGCAGGTCTCTTTCTTGCCGGAGCGATCTCGTCCGGGTTGGCGGGCGAGCTAGCGCGTGGTGGCAGGGGAGGAGTTTCCGCTGCCCCTGGGCCCGCCCCTCGGGCCAGCCAACCAGCCTGCTATCTCTAACATCGTCTCTCTCTTCCTCCTCAGGTTCCTGTCTTCCCGTTAGCCACTGCTACAACGAGAGAAATGGCGACCGCCGAAGGTGAGTGACCACCGCCAGGGCCACGTGCGCCCCGTTGGGCTGGGGGGGGGTGTCCTGCGTGCCGGCGGAGGAGCGCGCGAGGCAGTCTCTTGGGGGGAGAAGGAAGAGGGGTGGAGGGCCGGCTGCGTCCCCGCGGTAAACACGTGGTCGGACCCAGAGACGGGGGAAATCCGGGTCGGTCACCCGGCTGAGCCACCCACTGACCTCCTGAGCCCAGCCCTCAGTGGGAAGAGCTGGCGCCCAGCGCCTTCTAGGGGCTCGGGCGTACTGGACCCTGCGCCCAGGGAGCGCACGGGCTGATGGCCGAGGCCGCCGAGCCACGGCCCGCAGACTACGTGCAGGGTGGACTGGACGGCATCGCGGGGAGCAAGCGCCTGGGTTTGCGGGGCCCTGAAAAGACAACTTCAGGACACGTCGAGGAAGGATGGGAGAATAGCAGACTTGATCACATTAAAGACAGTCCGTGCCAACCAAAAGTTTTTTCCGTTATAGACAACCGTGCCACTTTCTGAAAAGCCCAAGAAGCCTCACGTTTTCTGTTTCAGTTCTGGTTTGTGTTCCCGTCAGTAAATCGAAGATCCAAAAAGTGGAGATGAAACTCCCCGTTTTTTGAGGCTCAGTTCTAACCACTGGATTTGCACTAATTAGGAAAGACCGCTTAAAGTCAAATGTTACTTGACTCGTCTTTTTGTGACATTCTGGAATCTGAAATCACCCAAAAAATATTACCTAGAGATACCTGCTGCATTTGTAAGTGTAGAAAGAGCTAGCCCCTGGGGACCCTGTGTCAGATAGTGTGACTGGAGTTGGTTTATGGATTTCTGGAAGGGCCCCAGAAGAAAGTTCACCATTGAAAAGTCAGAGGTAACAAAATGGGCATCACATTCTCAAATGAAGGGAATTAAATAATTAAACCAATATTTAATATCATTTATAGTACTTTAAGGTTTTATTGAATACTTTATATATAACCAACAATATAGTCAATTCTTCTCAACAGTCAAGGCACCCTGATTGAAAAGAAATAAAAGCACAGAAACAATCTAGAAACTAGATACATTATACTTCACTACTCTGAGTTTGGGGAAGGAAAAGAAGCTTTAGTCCACATCGGGAGTTCTTAAGACTGTTTGAGCCTGAAGAAGCCTGTGGACTCCTTTTCAGAATGATGTTTTTAAGTGCATAAAGTAAAATGCACAGCCTTACAAAGGAAAAGAGTTATCAAATATTTTTAAAATCTCAGGTGGAAGAATCCAGCTAAGTCTTGGAAAAAGTGGGATTTTTATGTTAGCATAAGGATAGAGATGAAAGAATCTGCTTCAGTCTAATCTTTGTTTTTTCCAGTCAGCCCTCATATACCTTTTTCCCTGAACCTCACTTTGCATCCTTTGGTTTATTACCACCAAAAAGAAGAAGAAGGAGTGATTAGGCTAATTCAACCTGGTACTTTGTTCTGTTTGTGTAGCAGCCTTCATTTTGCTTTAGGTCATGTAGGCAAGATTAATTTTCAGTTGCATAGGTCTAAAGCCTCAGGAATCAAATTATCCAAAATAAATAAGTCAGGAGACCTTGATTAAGTCCAAATGATGTGGTTGCTGAGAACCCTGAAATGTCAAGGTATAGGGCCATGTTTGCTTGGAATAAATTCATGCATTCAAACTGTCTTCCAGTCAAAGTGGCAAGGTTTTTCATAACACCTATAGTGCAGGTGAGATTCTTAGGGAATCTGAAACTTAATGGGGGTGAGGCTGAGGACTGTGAAAGGATCTGGATGGATTAAAGAGTGGTTTAACATCTGGGGTGGGACAGGTGCCACAGTGATCTAGGTGGGCTAGGACAGTGATCTGGGCTACTGAAACAGATGGGAAAATTCAGGGACTGGGTTGCTTTCAAAGACAGAGGATCCTAATCACATCACTAAGTAGGTATATGACTTTGGATGGGTCTGTTCTCAGAGCCTGAGTTTCTCCCAAGTATGAAATGGAAACAATAAAACCTGTACAGTCTACTTCACAGAATTGTTCTCAGGTAAGTGCTTTGCTATAGTAAGCATTGTGTTAATAGGAGTGATTATTAATTGTAGCAAAACATCAAATCAAAAGTTTCCAGTAAGAAATATAATTTCTACAAGTGGACCAAAGTACTCATTGGCTATTTAGTGATTATTGTCAAAAGTGCTAGACTTGGGGTTCACCATCTGCCTCCGCCAGCTGCAGTGCCCATAGACAAATGATTTTATTTCACTGACCCTGTAACTTCTTTCAAATGGGGGGGGGGGAGCAAGCATTTATTAAATACCTGTGATCTCCCAAGTACTATACTAAACTTTCTTGATCCTTAAAACAACCCTGAGAGGTAGGTACAATTATCCCTATTTTACCTCTGGGTAAACAAGCTGAATGAAGTTAAATGACTGAGGCTGGATTTGAACTTGGTCTTCCTGATTCCAGGCACAGCCTATGCTCTGTCCAGTATACCAGCACCTGCCTGGGGATGATTATGCCTGTAGTGCTTGCCTTACCAGGTTTATAAGAGAATCAAATGGCAACAATGTACAAAATTTGTATAAAACCATATAACTAGTGCCACTTAACAGATTCTGGCCCCAAATTCTCTGGGTAATTGGTCATTATTTAGATTATAAAGTTGGAAGGGACCCAAGAGATGCTAAGAGATTTGTGCTATTCGTTGCCAAGCAGTCTGGAAAGCTTCCATTTTTTTTAAGGTACCCTTTACTCTGGACACTGCTAGAAATACTAATGATTCGTTCCTCTCCCATCCATCCATCCTGCACTACCATCCCCAGAGATATCTTCCCAAAAACATGGGGTCACTGCCCTGTTCAAAAATTTTCCATGACTTTTCAGTGCCTGTAATAATAGCTAAGATTTGTATTGTTTTAAGATTTCCAAAGCATTTTATATGTATTATCCTATTTAATGCTCCCAAATATTCTGTGAGATACCTCATTTAAGCTAATAAATATCTTAAGTAGGATTCTAACTCCTAGTCCTCCACTCTTTTTAGTGCCTCTCAATCTTGTCCTATTAGTCAAGGCCTCTCATGGTGCTCTTGATCTTTGCTATAGTAAGCATTGTGTTAATGTGAGTAATTCTTACCGCAAACTTGTTGGGGTGAGGAAATTGTGACAGTTTTGTGAACCAAACTGACTCCATCTTATGACTCAGTTCTGGATTTAGCTTAGTTCCCTTTCTGTTCAGTTATGGAAATTGTGAGAAAACTATTGCATTGTTTGAACCTAGCTAGCCGTGCGGATTCCCTAGGAAACTGGTCCACCTCTATCTGTTTCTGGGATACCCATGACTAAGGATCTAGATTATGCTGACCAGAAAACCAGTAAGATCCGAAAATTGATGCAAGGAGTTTTATCACAGTTATATTTTTCAAGCAAACCATATTTCTTATTTGAAAACTCACCCATACTGGGTAGGAGGTACCTCTTTTTCTGATTTCAGGGAATTATACATTTTTGTTCTCTTCCCATCTCAGAAAGCCCCTAGTTTTTCCTCCAGTTAGAAATCATCTTACCTGATCTTTTATCCTAGATTATGTCCTGTTAATTGTTTTCTTTTAATGCATAAAAATCTGTCTCCCTCTATAGTCAGGGTCCAGTGCCAACCTGTGGAGGCCTGGTCGAAATTTGTCATGCAGTTGGAATACATTGTTCAATAGAAGGGTATGCTCAGAAGCTTGGATCTTTGTTTCCTCAGTTATTTCAGATTTCACCCATCTTGGGAAGACACCTGAAGGTTCATTTATAGATTAGCAGATAAATCAAAACCAATGCTATCATGATATTTCCCTATTCTTATTCTATTCCATGCCTGGGTAGAGCTGGAGAGTAAGCCTTGTCCTTGTGTAATTTCAGCAGCTGTTGTTTTCCTGTTTGATGTTTGCTTGGCTTTCTCTTTATAATGTCCTTCTCAAGATCCACTTGAATCTGTGACCTTTCAAGTTCCACCTGTCCTGTGCCCATTGTGGTGGACCCTTATAACCTAAGCTCTCCAGACTTCTTAGTTGAGGTTGTTTATTTTCCATGAGTAGCTCTGCTTGATTTCCACTCTCAAATTTTACCCAGGATGAGCTGTTCACCTGAAATCTCCACTTTATGGTTGACTCAGTTTTTGATCCCTAACACTTCAGCTCCCTCAATTGTCTCTCCCATTAGAAGGCTGGAGGGTTAAAGCCCTCCTTATTTGTATCCCCAGCACTTAGCATAGTGGCTGGCACATAGTTTATTGAATTGAATATGTGCTTTGGTTTAGAGGACAGGGCCAAGAGTAGAAAGAGAACTGAGCAAAGGAATTGCATTTGCAGTATTCACATTGAATTGCCCAAACATAAGAGTCTGGCTAACTTTTCTTAGACTGAAATACAATTAAAAAAAAAAGAAATAAAAGAGTTGTCTAATGTATATTGTATGTATGAAGATGAAAATGCTATATATAAAATGAAGATGAGGGAGAAAGAAACAGGCTACTTAGATAGCAGGTATGTCGGGGAGGTTTTGGTTAGTAGACTACATTGGTTATGAAAAATTTCTATATTAGTCACTGGTCCTTGGCAGAGATCCATCCATGGTTTCTACTCTGCGGCCTAGAACAGGCAGCTAAAATACCTTTATTCATCAGCATCTGGTTAGCAAACAAACATACTCTTGGGACTGGAGGTAGGACTAGAGCAGTTTAAAAATATATGTATGAAATCCCACCTCTATGCAGAGGTAGGAGGTCTAAAAATGTTGCCTGTTGCACATATTTTCAGACTTTTTTTTTGATGTAATGATTAGTTAAAATGCTGATTTTTTTTTTCCTTAAAAAAACCCTTTTTAAAAAACAGTGCTTGTTTTACAGGGTGACAGTCTAGGAGGGGGAAGGAAACCAGGGGAAGCTGTGGTAATGGAAAAAACAGAAGACATCAGTAAAAACTTACTTTTTAAGAAACGATGCATAAGTTTACAAAAGGATTCTTTTCAATGGAAGCCCTTCCAGATCTAATGACCATAGAAAATCAAGCTAGACTTTGTAGACGAATTGAATAGGAAGATAATGCATTTCTGAAATTAATCATGTAACGTAATAGAACATCTTCTGTTTATATCACCTTCCTAGTAAAGCCCTTTCTGATCTCCAAAAAGAGTCATCTTTGACCTCTGAACCTCCCCATGCAACAGAACAAAAATAGGATATACTTTTTTAGAGATGAGAGCATTATAAGATTGAGATTATTGATAAAAGCTGGTGCTTTTGCATATGCATAATTTAAAACAGCTCTCAGTGATCTAAATTGGGAACACATTGCAGAAATATATAAACTGATAAATGATTATTATAAGAACATTGAGGTGAGAAGATTGAGACTTTATTTTTGAGAAAGTTTCCTGGAATTGGTAGGAATTTGAAGTGAAAAATAAGTATAAATTTTAGGATGTGGTAATCAGCAGGAGAGAGACTTTCTGTGTCTTTTTTAAATTTGGGTCCCAGTAAGAAGCAACAGGTGATTGTTGCTGTAGATGAGAAATCACATGCTTGAAGGTTACCACTCAGTTCAACAGGTATTTATAAGGAACTTGTTTTCCTGCCAAGTAGAGAATGAATTTAAGCTTTTAAAATTAGTAATCAGAAAATGACTAGTTCTGGTACATTATTGATCTGTAAATAAATTCATTCCTTCAGTAACATTTCTGCCAGTTTCATACCAATTCTGTTCTCTTCCAGTGACTGTTAAAGTGAATATTTGGTTATGCGCCAGACTACATTCTTGTAATTATTACCTTGTTGAGCTGTCTGTAGAGTTGAATTGTTCAGAATTTGTTCTAGTCCAGTAATTCGGCTTTAACCAAAACACGTCTATTATATAATAAAGTAGGAATTTATGTTATTCATTTCTGTGGTTGCAGATTAAATAATTTAAGCAACATAATCTACATGAGAACAAAATTTAGCAGGTCCTACCAACCCAGAAAGGCTTTAAATATTGGCCCAGAAAGCAACCGTGTTTCTATAATATGCAAACCAATCTGAATAGGGGGAGGTTTATCTCTAAGAAGACTGGCCTTTTGGTGATGGGTTTAAAAAAAAATTATACCATCTGCTAAGGCATAGAGGAATTCTGATCAGCCTTAACAGAGGGAATACCCATGTCAGAACACCCATATATCCTTTAAAGTATTAAAATAAATTTCATAGTTTGTCTTATCTACTGTAAATTAAATGAAAACTTTTCTTTGTATCTCATAATTTTAAAAAATTACAGTATTAACCTTTGCACACCTTGTGTGTTCAAATACATTAATATGTGCATCTGATCACCAAATTTAGGAAACTTTTTCCTACTTACTATTTTCAAATATTATTAGATGTTTCTTTTTTATTTCCCCAGTACTGAAGATTGGTAAGAAGCTCTATGAGGGTAAAACAAAAGAAGTCTATGAATTGTTGGATAGACCTGGAAAAGTCCTCTTGCAGTCTAAAGACCAGATTACAGCAGGCAATGCAGCTAGAAAAAATCACCTGGATGGAAAAGGTGCAATCTCAAACAAAACTACCAGCTGTGTTTTCCAGTTGTTACAGGAAGCAGGTAAATGCCCCCTTTTTCCTTCTAATGTTTGTTTGTTTTTTCCACTGTGGATAATTAGGCTAATCTCTTGAGTGACCCAGGATCTAATTGAGGAGGCCATCTAGTGTTCTTTTTGATTGATGCAATCAACACCAGCATTGTAGCAACTGAATGACTTCACCATCTCTAGGAAATTCTGCTTCCGTTTGGACTTAGTCCAAGACGTCTTCCACATCAGGAGTGAACATTGATAGGAGATATATATACTATTCTATGTCTTATTTGATGTTAATAATCAGAAGATCATTGAACAAAGTTACCTTTGGGCTTATATTGTGGAAACATGTTAGGAAAAATGATAGGGTAGTAAAGATTTAGGACAAAGTATCTCTTCACTGGGTTGCAGACCCATTTGGGAATAGACTCCTCTTCTTCCATCCCTAAAGCAATTGGTTGTATTCTAAACACCTCTGCTCCGACCTAGCTGAGTAGAACACCACTGGACTGAATTCGTTTGAAATTAAATTCTTTGTAAAGTTCTCTAGTTGGATGGGGTAACAATTCCAATATTTCATCTCATTATCTGCCCTGCCCTTGTGATAACTAAGGTTGATAGACTTAGCCCTTCTCAGCAGTGCAAGGATCTAAGACATCTCCAAAGGTCTCATGATGGAAAATGCTATCCACATCAAAGAAAGAACTGTGGAGTTTGAATGCAGATTGAAGCATATATTGGCTATTTTTTTCTTCTGTTTTGTTTTCTCTTTCTTGTGGTTCCTCCTATTGGTTCTAATTCTTCCTTATAGCGTCACTAATGTGAAAATATGTTTAATTGGAATGTATATGTATAGCCTATATCAGATTGCAAGCTGTCTTATAAAGGGAGGTGGGGAAGGAGGGGGAGAAAAATAAAAATTTAGGGGCAGCTAGGTGGCCCAGTGGATAGAGCACTGGCCCTGGATTCAGGAGAACCCTGAGTTTAGATCCAGCCTCAAACACATAACACTTACTAGCTGTGTGACCTGGGCAAGTCACTTAACCCCACTGCCTAGCCAAAGGAAAAAAAAAGAAAAATTTAAAACTCAAAAACTTGTGGAAGTGATTGTTTATAAATCAGAATAAATTAATAAAAAAAATATACAAAATACAAAGTAAAAAAACAAAAGTAAAATGTGCCAAATGGAAAAGGAGGTACAAAATCTAATAGAAGGAAACAATTTGTTACAAATTAGAATTGGACAGGTGAAAGCTAATGACTCTGAGATATCAAAAATCAGTCAAACAGAAACCAAAGAATGAAAAAACAGAAGAAAACTTAAATACCTCATCGGTAAAACAACTTACCTGGAAATAGATCTAGGAGAGACAATTTAAAAATTATCAGTCTACCTGAAAACCATGATGAAAAAAAAGAGCTTGAACAGCATCTTTCAGTAAATCAACAAGGAAAACTGCCCTGAGGTCCTAGAACCAGAAGGTAAAATAATCATCAAAAGAATCCACCAATCACCTCCTGAAAGGGGTCCCAAATTGAAAATGCCAAAGAATATTGTAGCCAAATTCCAGAATTACCAGGTCAAAGAGAAAATACTGCAGGCAGCCAGAAACAATTTAAATGTCATCGAACCACAGTCAGGATTACACATGACCTTGCAGCTTCTATATTAAAAGATCGGAGTATGTGGAATATGATATTCATTAGGCAAAGGAGCTTGGATAACAACCGAGGATCAACTACCCAGCGATATTGAGCATAATCTTTCAGGGGAGGAGGTGGACATTCAACAAAATGGGGGACTTCCAAACCTTTCTGATGAAAAGACCATAGCTCAACAGAAAATTTGATCTTCAAATGCAAGTCTCAAGAGAGGCATAAAAAGGTAAACAGGAAAGAAAAAACAATATGTTATTAATAAGAGCAAATTGTTTACATCCCTACAAGGGAAGGTGACACTTATAACTCTTGAACTGTATTGTTATGACATTTAAAAGGGGTATACATAGACAGAGGGTATGGGTATAATTTGACTTTGATGTGATGATAAAAATCTAAGGAAGTGGTGAAAAAGGACTCTTCTGGGAGAAAAGGGGGAGGCATTCAAGGGTAAATTATATCATGTGAAAAGGCACAAAAACCTGTTTCCATAGAGGAAAAGTAGGGAGGGAGATAAGCGTTGTTTGAATCTTTCTCATCACATTTGGCTCAAAGAGGGAATAACATAATCGATTAGACTTAAGGAAAGAAAAGGGAGGGGGTGGTTAGAAAGGCGGAAGCATTAGTAAGGGTAAAGGGGATGAAAAGGGAGGGAGGGGGCTTGAATTAAATGACACCTAGCATTTTGTAATTCCCATTTAATTGAAAATTGCATTATTAAGATGAACAGGCTGACTTCAGAAAAACCTGGAAAGACTTATAGGGTCTCTTGCTGAGTGAAGTGAGCAGAAACAAGAGGACTCTGTACACAATAACAGCCACGTTATGTGATGACTAATATTGTTAAACTGAACCCTTCTCAGCATTACAAGGATCTAAGACATCTCCAGAGGCCTCGGGATGGAAAATGCTGTCCACATCCAAAGAAAGAACTATGAAAGTCAAATCGCTATCACTTATTTGTTTCTTTACAAAAGAGGGCTCAGTTTTGGGTAGCAGAGGTGGAATGAGCATATCCAAAACTGACTGCAAATATAAACAAAGGGTTTCAGTGATTTCAACTCCTGGTTGAGGAAACTACTTATTACCAGTTCGGGGTTAGCACCTGCTCAGCAACTGAAAGTCTTAGAGGTTCCTGAATTTTTGATAGATTTAAGTGGCTCATCCAGAACCACACAGCCATTATTTGTTAGAGGCTGAATGTGCTGAGTTCAAGTCTTTCTGACTCTGAAACAAGTTCTGTCTCCACTACAGCAGGCTGCCTTGTTTAAAACATAAGAACCACACACTCCTTCAGTCACTCACTATTTTTCCATTCATTTAATATCTAATTGATAGAATCTTGATTCCAGAGGTCTAATGACATACTTCTCCCTTCTAAGAAGTTGAAAACTGAAGTTGTAGGATCCTGAATATAAGCTGTCAGACATGGTAGATACACCTATTAGGCTTCACCATTTTCCTTTGTTATAAGGGAAGAGTTCTTTGGGGGCTAGAGGGATTGTTGGGGAGGGACTGTGATAAAGATGTCATTAAAAATATTTACAAAACACTGGTGCGGATTAGTTGTGGAGGTTTACTGAGGACAGTTGTGTTTTTGGTTTAGACAAATATTCTTTGGATTAATGTGAACTAGAATTCTGAAACTTTATTTACTTCATTCCTAGGAATCAAAACTGCTTTCACCCAAAAGTGTGGTGAGACAGCTTTCATTGCACCTCAGTGTGAAATGATTCCAATTGAATGGGTGTGTAGAAGAATTGCAACTGGCTCTTTTCTCAAAAGAAATCCTGGTGTCAGAGAAGGACACAAGTTCTACCCACCTAAAGTGGAGTTGTTTTTCAAGGTAATTATTATCTTTGCCGGTATGAAAAGATTATTTCCGTAAACTGGAATTGAGCTGCAGTTCTAGTCTTGCTTTGAGGGGAATTTTAAATCACTTTACTTTGGGTGGTCAGAGCACATTGTACTATGGACGTTGGTGATGAGTCGATTTTTTTAATACAACTTTTAAGCAAACTTGCTTTGGATAGTGTTGAGATAGCCAGAAGAAAGAAAGAAAACTCAGCTTTCCCATTACCTGTTATGAACAAAAATTATTACATTGATATCCTAGGAATTAGTGTTTTCTTAGAAAGTTTTCTTTTTGGGGCAGCTAGGTGGCACAGTGGATAAAGTAACAGCACTGGAGTCAGGAGGACCTGAGTTCAAATCCGGCCTCAGACACTTAACACCTTTAGCTGTGTGACCCTAGGCAAGTCACTTGATCCCATTGCCTAGCCCAAAAAAAAAGTTTTCTTTTCCCTTTTAGTGCTTATGGTAGACTTTATCAACTGAAGCAAACCAGCCTCTAACTTGTGGAAGGCCTGAGCGAAACAAAGTAGGCTAGAGGTGGGACAGTCAGGAATCCAACAAAAGTTTGATGAGAGAACCAATTTGCAAGTCCACCTTCCTAAGAAGGAAGGGGTGCACCTGCTTATGACAGGAGTAGGGTTTTTAAATATGAAAACCACAAACGACTAGACCATAACACAGGCATTCTTGGGTCTTTTGTGTGAATAGGCTTCAAGTTGATAGGGTCATTGAGGCTTGTAATTGTTCAGTGGGGCATTATAGATCCCACCACAACAACTTTGTTATTCTCTTTTAATGAATCTTTGGTTTTTGAGAGGAACTCTAGTACCTCTTTATTTAGAATATCATATTTGTATCATGTAAAATATATTCCCATAATATTTAAAATATAACCATACAATGTCCATTTTCTGAAATTAAAAACGAAGTTATCATGAAGGAAAAATTGATTCCATGCTTATGTTAATTCAGGGTCTGTAAAGTTGTTGATTATAATTCTCTTGCTGTATTTGCCATACTGAATGAAGGGGGGCTCTTTATGCTCTTTAATATTCTGAATTTGACATCTCTTTGAAGTTGTTTAGTCTTTTGTGAAATTCTCAAGATTGAAAGGGGGTGATTTTGGCTTGAATTTGAAAATTTAGTTAATTAGCCTAAAATGCTTTGGCCTACCCTATAGGTATGTTATAGGTAAAAGTGAAAATGCTTAGTTCAGTTGAATGCAATTTAATAAACATTTTATTAAGCCCGACTATATGCAAGCCACTATCATAGGCTCTTGGGACAGTTAAACAGTCCCTGGTAAGAGTATATTTGTCGGTTATGAGGTAGAGGATTAGGCATGCAAGTTGAGGAACACTAGAAGAATCAGGAATGGCTTTATTTAAATTTGCACCTGAACTAAGCCTTGAATGAAGCAGAGGATTTGAGAAGTAAACATGAGGTCTGTGCAGACAGGAGGAACGGCTTATTCACAACCAGACGAGCAGGAGGGGAAACTCTAAGTTCAGGGAATGCCATGTAGTTCTTTTTAAATGCAAGATGCAGTACATGTACAGAAGAAAAAGAATAGAAAAGAAATCTGAAAAGGTAAGCTAGAGCTTTCTTCGATGTCATGCCAAGGATTTTATATTGTATTTTACTTGCTGTAGGGAATCAATGAAACTTCTTGAATAGAGGAGTAGCATAGTCATACTTGTGCTTTTGGGAAAGTTTTCAGGAAGCTCTATGGAGGATAGGTTGGTGAGGGGTGTGGGGAGAAACTGGAACCAGGGAGGTCAGTTTGGAGGCTATTATAATAGTTGAGGTGAGAGCTGTACCAGGACACTGGCTAGGTAAGTGGAGAAAAGTAAGCAGATGCTAGAGATGTTGTGAAGGTAGAATCAACAATCTTGGCAAATTTTTGGATATTAGTGGTAAGGGAGAATGAAGAGTAAAGATGATTCCAAGGTTTTGAACCTGGGTGACCCAGTAGTGATTAAGTGACTCCAGAACTCTGTCTTGGCCCCTTTTCTTCCTCTATACTGTTTCCAGTGAATTCATTGGTCATCTCTATGCATCGGGCTCTCGGATCTACATCTCCAGCTGCCTTTTGGCTATCTCAAACTACACGTCCCATAGACAACTTAAAACTCAACACCTTCAAAACTGAACACATTTTCTTCCTCCCAAACCTCCTTCCCTCTTTTTAGATCCCTATTACTGTAAATAATACTATTATCCTACCATTCACAATAGATGTTAGCCTTGACTCCTGAAAGACCAAGTCTTTCAGTTTTACCTTTGTAACATCTTTCAAAAATGCCCTCTTCTCTCCTGATGTTTCCATTATCCTAATGCAAGGTCTCCTCTCCTGATGCCTGCACTGTTGAAGTAAGCTGCTGATTGGTCTCCCCCAATCCAGTCCATTCTTTACTCAGTAATCAAATTGATCTTTGTAAAACACAGATCTTATCATGTCACCCACCTATTAAATAAACTTTAGTATCTCTCTGTCATGTCCAGGATCAAATACAAGATCCTCTGGTGTTCAAAGCCCTTCATAACAACCATCTCTGCCTGACCCCTCTGTTTTCTTTTCATTCTTAAGCCCATTGTATACTTTGATCTAGTGGCACTCATGGCCTCCATGGTCCTTGAGCAAAACAGACCATCTCAGGGGCAGCTAGGTGGCGCAGTGGATAGAGCACCTGCCCTCGAGTCAGGAGGACCTGAGTTCAAATCTGCCCTCAGACAGCAAGTCACTTAACCCCAATTGCCTTGAGAGGGGAAAAAAAAAAAGACATACCATCTCCCAACTCCATGCATTATCACTGGCTATCTCCATTCATAGAATGTTCACCCTCCTAATCTTGGCCTCCTGGCTTCACTGACTTCTTTTAAGTCCCAACTAAAATTCTACCTTCTATAGGAAACTTTCGCCATGTTGCCTCTCCTGTTAGAATGTGAGCTCCTATTAGAGCATGGATTGATTTTTAAAAAGTTTTTATTCCTACACTGCGCAGTGCCTGGCACATAATAGTAAATGCTTAATAAATATTGACTGATGAAATAAGAGATAGTGCTCTCAACAGGATTGGGGGGAGCGGTAATATATTAAAATTACTGTCTAAATCATATATTAGTAATTTATTTCATATGGAGTACTAACTCATGTTTCAAACCTAACTGGTTTGTTTTTAAATTCTATTGAAAGCAGCATTAAAAAATAAAAACTAAAGTGGAAAAAATGTAAATTTGTACTTTACAAAAAGTTATTCTAGCAAAAGGGAAAATTGTTTATATTATGATTTAATTTCCATATGCGTTAAAAATTTTATAAATGACAACCTTAAAGAATTAAATCTTACATCAGCTTTTATTTACTTTTTTAAGTTAATTTGTTTTTAGTTTTCAACATTCTCTGCCACAAGCTTTTGAATTTTAAATGTTCTCCTCCTCCTTCTCACTTCCCTCCCCAAGACCTCATGCAGTCTGATACAAGCTCTACATACACATTCCTATTAAACATATTTTCACATTAGTCATGTTGTAAAGAAGAATTAGGATGAATAGGAGGAACCACAAGAAAGAAAAAAACAAAACAGAAGGGAAAAAAAGAGTAGATAGTGTGCTTTGATCTGCATTCAAACTCTGTAGTTCTTTCTCTAGATGTGGACAGCATTTTCCATCATTACATCAGCTTTTATTAAAATTTCAGGAAAATTCTGATTTAAATCCTTCAAAAATTTGTTCTTTATTCACAGGATGATGCCAACAATGATCCACAGTGGTCTGAAGAGCAAGTTATTGCTGCAAAATGGTGTTTTGCTGGACTTAACATAGGTCAGACTGAAGTGGATATCATGCGTCATTCCACACAGGCTATTTTTGAAATACTGGAAAAATCCTGGTTACCTCAGAACTGTACACTGGTTGACATGAAGGTGCAAACAAATGGAGACTTTAAATAAAAATTTGAAAATTTCAAGTAATGAGAAATATCTTCAGTATTCCAGGTGGTTTCTCCTTTTTTTTCCTCTGTAGATTGAATTTGGTGTTGATGTAACCACAAAAGAAATTGTTCTTGCTGATGTTATTGATAATGATTCCTGGAGGCTCTGGCCATCTGGTGATAGAACCCAACAGAAAGACAAACAGGTGATGTTGTTTGGATTTTTTCTGTTTTTTTAGATCAGTTTAGTAGACAGAGAAGATAGAAATGGAAAAACTAGTACAACCAAAAGTGCAATTTGGTTAAAGTTTCTTGGTCATTAATGGATTTGGGTTCAATCTGAAAAAGAAGTAAATTAATACATTAGTGAATGCTTGTAACAGTCCCCTTTCCTGTCTTCCCCTCTCCTTGTGAGCCTAGTTACTGTTATTCCATGACAGAAATATGTATGGAAATTTAAAAACTCGAATAAAAACAATAAATCTCTGGCCAAGTTGTGGTTGTGCCTTGTGGAAAGTTCAGGAAGCTGTTTGTGGGGAAAATGATTCTAAACTTCCTGGTTCTGTATTTTAGTCATACCGGGACCTTAAAGAAGTGACTCCTGAAGGTCTCCAGATGGTGAAGAAAAACTTTGAATGGGTTGCAGAAAGAGTAGAGGTAATCCTTTTGTATAATAGGCCCCAAGTAATGCTTTTGTGTTTACTTTCTAGAAGTTTCTCTCGAAAAAAACTTTTTTAAGAAACCAATAGATTCTCTTGTTGAGAATTTTGAGAAGCTTGGGGAGAAGCATCCTAAAATTTGACCCACTTTTAATAAAAGCAATCTGTGACTATCCCCATATCCTTTCTAGAACATCATTCATATGTTGGTGTGTATTCCAATATCTTGGTATGGTTCCATGCCTTAGGAAGTACAGTATACCAATCATAGTTTGATTTTTGGCTAAAGTTCTCAAAAGTATTGTTTCATGGTGTATTGTGGCGGCACTGTCTCAAAGAATTCAGTCAGACCACTCTGATCAAGTACAGGCATTCATTGAGATTGATGCCTCTCCTAAAGCAAGCAGGCTAAGTTCCAAGAGGGACCAGCAACTTCAGATAAAGCAAGATGGATTTTTATAGGGTAAAGAAGCAGTTAGACAACAAAAATTATGAATATTAAAAAGACAGGAGGGATTTGTTAAAGGATTAGGTAATGGGGAAGGATCCCTTCTATGGTTCTGTGGTCAAACCTGGCGGTGCTGTTTTCTGATTGGCTAGCTATTGTGGTCCTGTCTGGTCAACATGGATAGTTAGCTAGTTAGCCCTGTCTTGGGCTAAATGGATGATGTGATTGTGGTTCAGTACGAGAGCACACTTGTTCAAAAAATTGGATTGGATCTGGGGACAGTGGTTAGCTAGGGGTAGTGGCTGTATTAAGTCTGGGGGCCTATAGTATGGTTAAAGCCAGATTGTGTGTGGTTAAATCGGGACATGCCTGCTGTTCAGTGGGGCCCATAAGGAAGTTAGGCTGGGGCTGGAGGCAGCTTTATTAGGATTCCATCAGTATCTCAGTTCATTATTATGGTCAGTTTTCATTATACGGTGATGACAGTGTAGAAACTATAGATTGGTTTGGATTTCTAATGGTTCTTGGATTTATTCTGGAAATTGCTTTTTTTTTTTTGCATAAATTTATTTTAGATAGCTTTCTTGACATTTGCTTCTTACTCTTAAAAATGGACTGCCAAAAGGTGAAAAAAACACTTAGATGCTTTGTGTACTTTAACTTATCATTCTGTTTAATGATTACATCATTTTTATTAACACCAACAGCTTATTTTCTCACATTTGTATTCTTCCCTTCAGTTGCTTCATGAAGTGGAAAGTCCATGCAGAGTTGTGGTATTGATGGGCTCAATATCTGACCTTGGTCATTGTGAGAAAATTAAGAAGGCTTGTGGAAACTATGGAATTCCCTGTGAACTTCGAGTAACATCTGCCCATAAAGGACCAGATGAAACTCTAAAGATTAAAGCAGAGTATGAAGGTAAAATTCAAATAACTTATTAGATAAAACAACAGATACTAGAGTAGTTTGGGTATCGTTCATCACTTTGACACAAAATTCTGTTTTCTCCCAGTAATAAAGAGTTTTACCTTTTTGTTCCAGTTGGGGCAAATGTTACAGGAAATTTTAGTGAGACTGATGGTATTCTTAAATTTAAGGTGTTCTTTATTTATAGAGAGTAAACTAAAGGACAAGAGGTAGAATATAGAGAAGAAAGTGTAACAAGGAGGGGAAAGTAAAATTGATTTATGGATTAAGTAGAAGAGAGTGCCACACCCATGGTCCTATATCACGATCTTAATCTAAGCAGTAGTTTACAACATGTCTGTCTGCATTAAGGTAACACATGACAGTCTCGATTCCAGTCTTTCTCACTGAAAAATCCCAATAGACTTTATTTTTGTCATCTATTTTAGCAAGAAAAAAGCCCTACTTTGTTTTTTTGACTACAGCTGAAACAGTCTCTATCTTTTCTTAAATCCCCTCACTAATCAGCCATTAGTGAAAAACAGGTAAGCTTTTTCCAGTAAGAAAATGTAGAGGGTAAAGAAGGGGTAGGATACATAGCTTTTGAAGGGAGTCCTTAAATATCTCCTTTGGGGTTAACTTTTCCATTATTTTAATTGTGTTGTGCTAGATGGAATCTGTGACATGACCAAATGCCCTTCACAAGTCAGCATTGATTTCTTCTAGAAAAATGTGGAGGAGTTCCTTGTGGGCAATTGTTGTAGGAAACAAAAGAAGTTAATAATTAAAAAGCTATATACATAAATAATATCAAGGCTTTCTGATTATTTTGACACTAAGTAAACCAGTTATTAAACTTGCTTTCGAGAAAGATCCTTAATCTGTGACATTCGTATGTCATGTAATGGGTTTACATCTCTGTTTACAGTTGGGTTGAAGTGGGCCACTAGGCTCCAGTGGTAGCATTTCCTTAAATTAAGGAAATAAAAACCCTGTGTGGTACACATAACTGGTGAGCTCCATGCTTCTGGGACAAATGATTTCCAAGAGATTCAGAGTTTCCACTTCGATAGTCCTCATTTCAGAGTTCAGTCTTTTTGTTTTTGCATGGCAATTGGGGTTAAGTGATTTGCCCAGGATCACTCAGCTAGTTAAGTATCAAGTGGCTGAGGCAGGATTTGAACTCAGGTCCTTCTGACTCCAGAGCCTGTGCTTTATTTCACTCTGCCACCTAGCTGCCCCTCAAAGTTCAGTCTTTTGAAGGACAATGAGCTTGAATTAACTGTTCTCTATCTTGGTCAGACTCCATCTAAACTCCTACTGGAGTTTGGATGGGGATAAATTCTTTGAATTGATTGCCTAAGGCTGGGCAATTTAGATGTAATTAACATAATCAGAATTCAGTAGAATAGGTCCAGCCCCTCATTATAATATTCATTCCCAATAAGAGTTCATTTTCCACATAAGAGCACCCCTTTTCCAGGGCCACCTAAGCCTTGAGTCCACCACCATGAGGGTCTTTGGCATTCGAGAGTGCCACTGACCTCTTTTATTAAAATATGAGCATTATTAATAAAATTATTGATTACCCACAAGTTATGTCTAAAGACAGCCCAGATTTGCTCTGTGTGATGTTGTGAAAGCTCAACATTAAGGTTTTGTTACTTTGGAGTAACTTGGTTTTTGTGGAATTTTTCAGTCTATAATTGTGAGCTTTTGTTTAATCCAGGAGATGGTGTTCCTACTGTGTTTGTGGCAGTAGCTGGCAGAAGCAATGGTTTGGGACCAGTAATGTCTGGTAACACTGCATATCCAGTAGTCAACTGTCCTCCTCTTACATCCGATTGGGGAGCTCAGGATATATGGTCCTCACTTCGAATGCCTAGTGGTAAGAAGTACTGCAACACTGTTCTTCATGAAGCATTTTTATAATAGTAACTTTTAGTTTTAAAAACAGATTTTGTTATTACATTAATCATAAGATTAGTTTTTGTGTTTCTGTTAACTAAAAGACATCGTGACAAATTTCTTAAAAACTATTCTTTAGCGTCAACTAGGAAATTTGTGAAAATTAGTTATGTGGTGTGAACACATTAAATATAGTTGGTTTGGCAAGCAGATTATATAAGGATGTCATTTACTTTTGAGATCTTGAGGTCTCCAACCCAGGAAAGGTTCACAGTCTGTCAGGGACATTTCTGCATAATTGGGAGGTTCACAGAATCTCAGAGTTAGAAAAAACATCAAGTCATCTAATCCAATACATTTCTGAATGTCATTCCTTTCTTAAGACATCCCTGACAGCTGGACCAAATGATGTGTACATTCTCTTCCAGTTTGAATGTGGTTGGGATTGTAGTTTTGGTTTTTTGCTGGTTTTTTTTTTTAAAGAAGCAGACTCCAAATTTGAGAGTTCCGCTAAATACAGGGATTCCAGCTTTTAGAACTATAGTTAACTAAAATGATTTATCAAAATAGCAGTGAGGCCTCGGTTGGCCAATTCCTATTCATCTTAAATATTTTTTAACAAAGACATTTAGCTGATCTTAAAAGAGCACAGCAGACTAAAGCTAGGCTCTGAATACCTGCCCTGTCAAATTAAAGCAGATACTTCTCCCATGTCTACTGCCATTGAGAACAATGGTGGGTTGTAAGATTGTCTGTTATTTTAGTTCTGTTTAATAAATATGACTAACAGGAGATTTATGTTAAATTTCTGTAGAGTGAAAAAGTAGTTTCCTAAAAGAAATCTATTGTGTTACAGCTCAATTCCCTGACTTTTTTTTCTGTCCCTCCAGGTCTTGGCTGTTCAACTGTACTTTCACCTGAGGGAGCAGCTCAATTTGCAGCGCAGATATTTGGATTAAATAACCATTTAGTATGGGCTAAACTTCGAGGAAGCATGTTAAACACATGGGTTTCCTTGAAGCAGGCAGATAAGAAAATCAGAGAATGCAGTTTATAAGAAGAATGCAGTGAATTTTTAAAAGTGGAAAAAAAAGGATTCTAATTTAGCTTCAAAAGGCATTACCAATCAGGCAAGAGAAAAGATTATTCTAAACTAATCATAGAATAATACTAATAAAATTTCTTACTTGGTTTTATGTTTGTGGTATGGTAGAATGTGTGTGTATCTTCCATCTTTAGTATGTATATTCCTTTATAAGTAGAGAAATTTTGTAATCCTGTCTGGAAAATATTTTTTTGGTCTGTTATCCAATGTTTAGTAATAGCCAGGTTGTGTTATCAGTGACATGCTATTCATATCTTGAGATATAAGATAAAGTGTTATTTCCTATCACAGAGCTAAGCTCTCTAAAATTACTTCTAGACTTTGCAAACACCCTAAATGTATAAGGTTAAAGCAAAAATGTATCTTGGAAATAATGGTAAGAGCTATGGCTTTATCTCCTGTTTTACACTGTAGTCAATTAAAATCTCTTATGTCCATAATTCCCAGTATTTTCCAGATTACTTGTTTTTATAATAGATCTAATATTCATAGAAAACTTGATAAGGCTACGTCCATGACATATTCATATTTCTTGGATGTGTGGAAAAAGAACACAGCTATAAGGGGAGAGCATATATAAGGATAATAGCAATGCCTTTATGTCTAAAAGCTGAGAAACTTGGAAAATCTGCTTTTGAAGTGGGTGTCAAGTTAATTCCTATTGAGTTTTCACCTGCTGACTCAAATTCAGGAATTGAAGACCATTGTGTGACTTGATATTTTCATGATATTTTCTGATCACGTTATTTTTATTTTGCTAGTGCATTTTGCTTTAATTTTCCTTCCTCCTTTACAATTTTTTAATCTGTTGGCTTCAAAACCATCTTCTGTTTTTTAACCTTAAGCCAGTTTCTCAAAACAATAGGTAAGCATATTTTAAGTATCTACTATATACTGAGCATTTCTCAGTGCAGGGCTACAAAGACCTAAAAAAATCATTCCTTGCTGTCAAAGAAGTTTTCATTCCATGTACATGGGATAAGTTTCTACAGAGTAACAGTATATTTACTTTGTAACAGTACAACATTGGGCAAGTATACTTGGCAAGACTTGACAGGCTGGTTTTTAAAAGTGGCACTAAAGTTTCACAATCATATAGTACTTTATATGTCTATAGAAGTTTAATACAGGCAATATTATGAAGTGAAGGCTTGATCCAAATTTATCCCGTGGCAAGTGTTAAAAAGCTTGTTTTCTTCTGTGGCCATCGTTGCCCATCCCTAGCTTCCAGTCTGGCCCATCTCTTCACTCTAGGCAAACTATTTGATCTTCTGTTATACTAAGAAAATCTCCATTAACTAGCCTTTCTACACCAGTGAATCCCTTTCTTTACCCTATCTTTTCTGCTTCACACTAACCCCTCTACCTGGGAGGCTTTTTTTTTTTTTAGCATTGTCAATCTCTTCCCTAGCTTCTATCCCTCCACCAATAGTTTTTAACTTGGAAGGAAAAAAGCCTTTTCACTTTGATCCAGCCCTCTAATTGCCCTCTTTTCTTCTTTTCTGAGCCAAATTTCTCAAAGGAGTTAGTAGGTCATTGGATTTAAAGCTAGAGTGACCTTAGAGATTACCTAATCCCTAATTTTTTTATCATGTTATCTGGATCCTTCTGTGGTATTTGACAGAGATGATAACCCTTTAAGTTTTTGTCTCTTAGCTTTTATAAAACTCCACTTCCCTGGTTTTCTTTCTACTTAATTTGCCTCTCCACTGAATCATCTTTATCTTTCTGTTCCCTAAATGTGGGCATTTTACCCATGCTTGTTCTCAGTTCTTTCTTGTAACTCATTTTTTATACTCCTTTAGAGGTCTCATCTATTCCCAGTATTTTAATTATCACCTCTATAAATGACTCTCAAATTGGTTTGTGCAAATGTTAATCCTAAATTTCCAAGCGTGTGCTGTCGCCTCAACTAAACCCCGGCTGTCCAAAGACTAACTTCTTCTCCACAGACAAGCTCATCCTTTGTTCCCTATTCCTCTAATTCCTCACCATTCTTCCAGTTAGTGACTTGAAACATTGGAGTCATATTTGACACCCCTCTTAACCATACCTTGCTAAAGTCTGAAGTTCTCAGCTTTTGTTGTTTAATTACCCTTCTCCATGCCATTCTCACCACCTTTGGAGTCTTATTACATTGCATCTGGAGAAACAGTGATACATTTTACTTGCTTCCCCATTTCTAAGCAGTCTCCCTTTATCCTGCACAACAGTTTTTTGGGTTTATTTTTTGGTGGGGAGAGTGGGACTGCTGGAGAAGTCTGGACCTATTACTTCATCAGTACCAAGTTCCCTCCACCAATGCTGAATAAGTACTGTTTCTACAACTTGGACATTGAAAGGTTAAATGGTCTGGAATCCAAGTGGTCCTGACTGAGGCCAGCCCTTTCCATACTCTGTCTCTCCAACTAATAAATAAATTAAATAATCTTCCCTAAATGCCACTTTGAACATTTCAATACTAAAAATAAACTCTTCTAGTAAGATACAGTCCACCGATCCCAAATTTATCTTCATAAGCTTTAGACAAATTAAGGATGTTTGATATCTTACAGATATTCCCTGGGTTTTTCCTATCTTTGCTTCCTATATTCCCTTCCCAACTTGAATACCCTCCCTCCCTTCCCCATGTACATTCATCCTCCGGGACACATCTCAAACTCCGGCGCTCTGCGTCTTGACTGCCCCAGTTAGAAGCGCACCTGTGCCCCTGAACTATACAGGTTTATTATGTACTATTCAGATAGTACTTATCATATATGACTTTGTATACTTGTCTTTAAAGGTCTTATCTTCCCACTGAGATGAGCTCTTTGAACATTGAGGCTGTCTCATTGCTTTGTACTTAGTAAGCATTTAGTCTTTATTTGTTAGACTTGAAGCTGTAATATAATCGTCTAGAACCACAAGACCCAGCTTCCAGATCTAGCACCAGTATTGAGTAGCTATGTGACCTCTCTGCCTCAGCTTCCACATATAAAATAGGAGTAGTAAATTATCTTTCTTCACAGGGTAAGGAAAGTGCTTTCTGAATTGCAAACTGTTATATAAATGTGATATTCACATTGAAGTCATTTCACTCATATTTTACTGGAAATGTCACTTTTCCCAAAAGTATTGAGAAGTTTTCTGGACACAATAAGTATGATTTGGAAATTCTTGTATCATAAATACTTTGAAAATGTTTGAACTGGGTAAGATTCCTGTGTCTTGAAAATTGGCTAAACTCTGGTTGTTAATCTTTGTCCCTACATGGGTGCCACTTGTCATAGCTTTAGCCTTCAGGAAATTGTTTAAGAATAGTTTCCCCTTACAGGTGGCTTGAGGATTACTTAGTTTATAAATTTAATTTCACTGGTATCTTAGTAGATAAATCTCTGGGCCTAGAGTCAAAGACCTGAATTTGAAATCTGCCTCAGAAATTACCTTAGACAACTTGCTTATTGCTCTCTCCCTCAGTTTCCTCAACTATAAAATGGGGATAATTATAGCATCTACTTCCCCCATTGGTTGTGAAGATTAAAAGATAATATTTATAAAGTGCTTGGCATAGTGAATAAAGCATAACAGGCACTTAATAAAACCTTCCTCCCTTTTTCTTCGCTTTTTTATTTTGCTTTTTTTTTTAATTTTAATTTTTCAACAATCACTTCCATAAGCTTTTGAGTTTTAAATTTTTCTCCCCCTCCTTTCCTACCTCTCTCCCCAAGATGGTGTGCAATCTGATATAGGCTATACATATACATTCCTATTAAACATATTTTCACATTAATCATGTTAAGGAAGAATTAGAACCAATAAGAACCACAAGAGGAAACAAAACAGAAGAAAAAAGAACAATAGTATGCTTCAATCTGCATTCAAACTCCATAGTCTCCTCCCCTCTTTTATTCCTGCTTTCCTTTTCTATGGAAATGCTATAGGAATAGAGCCCAGGAATAAAAATATCAATTTTGCATAGGTCACTTTCAAAAGATTCGCCAATTCTTGCTGCTTAAGGGAGGATGCAACATTTCTTCTAAAATGGCAACAGCATTTCTAAGTTTGCTGGATGTTAGTCATGTCCTTAGCCAAACTGTAGTGCACTCTACAGTCTTAACTTCTGGACTTAAGTGAAGCACAAAGGAAAATACAGCCCCAAACAGGAAAGATGAATGCCAGACACTTAGATTTTCTTGGGCCCAAAGAGAAACATAAAACTCCTATCCGATGGAAATGTAAACTACACAGATAGAAAATAAGGACATATCCAAGAGGATCTGTCTCAAAGGATGTTTCCCAGATAGTGCTTTTTTCCACCACAGAATTAAGATAACTCTACTGGGTATTTTGCACACATAATGCAATTATAACTTAGAGAAATAAATACAAATTATTTCACTGGCTCCCAACTGCTTAAAATCAGGGATTCTTAACCTTTTTTTGTGCCATGGACTCCTTTGGTAGCCTAGTGAAGCCCTCAGTAATGGTTTTTAAATGGGTAAAATACACAGAATTGCAAAGTAAACCATTTATCTTGAAATACTTTAACCTGGCATGATGGTGTAGACTGAGGTTGGCAAATCTCTTAAATATAACAGTTCTGCGTGGTAGTGGGCTTTTCCAGTCAGGCATCCTTGCCAAATTCAGCATTAATGTTAACATGGGGGTTGGGACACCTGGCTGCCTAAAAAGGTCTGAGCCTGCCCAGGTCTAAGACAGGTTAATTCTTCCTCCTGCCAGTTAGTGGTGGAATTGGGCCAATGAAAGCCCTTGCTCTTCCAGCCTAAGAAGATACCTAGTTTAAAAAAAAATGTTTAAAAATTTACTAAATAATTAATTTTGCTTAAGAAAAAAAAGGTTTTCCTTTTTATTTTAGCCAACTAATGGTACTAAGAAGTATAGTTTTCATATGTGGTTTTAATACCTCACTTGTAAGTTGCAGTGATATCTGCTTAAAATCTGGCCTGCCCAGAACCTTATCCTTCAAGTTCCTTTTTCCATGGACCAGGCTAAGCAGAAGGATATGCAAATTAAGTTGGCAAGAAAGAAAAGCATTAAGAGCCTACTATGTGTCAGGCTCTGTGCTAAGTGCTGTGAAAATTTTATCCTATTTAATCTTTTGTGTATTTTTTTTAAATTTTATTTAATTTTTTTTTTGGCTAGGCAGTGGGGTTAAATGACTTGTCCAGGGTCATACAGCTAGTAAGTGTCAAGTGTCTGAGGTCAGATTTGAACTCAGGTCCTAACTCCGGGGCCAGTGCTCTATCCATTGTGCCACCTATTTAATCGTCACCACAGTCCTGAGAAGTAGGTATTATTGGGGGGGCGGAGCCAAGATGGCAGAGTGAAAGCAGTGACTTGCTTGAGCTCTCCCCCAAACTTCTCCAAATACTCATAAAAAAAATTGCTCTAAACAAATTCTGAAGCAGCAGAACACACAAAAAGACAGAGTGAAACA